TTTTTTTGTATTTCTGAATTATCCACTCATCCTCCAGGTTAGACATAGCGCCCTGCAAGAACTTGGTGTTAGCTATATCGTTGACACCAAAATCATCTACCTCAACTGTTTTACCTTCCCTAAATCTCTCCACCTCCTTATCAAAGGATACATTGCCTTGCACCACATTATAATTTTTAGCTGGACCCACATCCCCAACGTGTGACACTCCCTTCTGAATCCTGGGATTACATTCCCCCTCCTCCAATAGTAAATTAATATCATTACCATTTCTCTCGATGTTTTTGAGCTCATGATAAAGGTGATAGCATTGAACTTCAGAGTGACCAAACATCCTGCATTTGGTACAATAAAGAGGGTGTTGTTCCAAAACAAATTTTTGCTAATAACCATTATGTGATGAACCTATCCAAATTTCTTTTGTCGGTGCTTGGGTGATATTCCTTTCCACAAGAACCCTTGCAGCAGCAGGTCGAGAGATTGTGAAAGTTGGAGAGCCCATTTTGAGAAGTCTCCCAAAAATGGCAGCCACTGAGAACAATATTTCATGATTATAGAGATGTAATTTAAGCCCCGAAAATCTAACCCACACAGTCACAATTGGAGGTTCAATCTAGGGGTCAAAATCAACGAACCACTTTAAGAGTTTCATAACCTTATTATCAATTCGTATAACTTTCCTAGCAAACAATCAAGTGTAATCTTCTTCATTTGCTAATTGTATGAGGAGGGATAATCATCTAACAGACCAATTTTCCAACTCCCCTCAAGCTTAAGGTTTTCAAAATCCCTCATGATTAGCTCCAACTTAGGATGACCATGCAAAATTTTACCCACTAAAGCTAAGCAACAAGAAGCCGCCAGAGAAGAGCATTCGGTATCCGAAATAAACATAGCGGGTTTGCCATTCATCTTACTGGCCATTTTTTCCAAGGAGTACTCACTGGAGCGTTTGAGAGACTTGTGAAAAGATTGCGAGAAAACCGTAGTTTTGAGCGAAGAAACTTCATTGCCACCCCAGTGAAGGCGTCAACAAAAGATCAAAATGTCATTAAGCCACTGAAAGCAAAAATGCCGCCAAATCCAACTGTTTTACCTTCCCTAAATCTCTCCACCTCCTTATCAAAGGATACATTGCCTTGCACCACATTATAATTTTTAGCTGGACCCACATCCCCAACGTGTGACACTCCCTTCTGAATCCTGGGATTACATTCCCCCTCCTCCAATAGTAAATTAATATCATTACCATTTCTCTCGATGTTTTTGAGCTCATGATAAAGGTGATAGCATTGAACTTCAGAGTGACCAAACATCCTGCATTTGGTACAATAAAGAGGGTGTTGTTCCAAAACAAATTTTTGCTAATAACCATTATGTGATGAACCTATCCAAATTTCTTTTGTCGGTGCTTGGGTGATATTCCTTTCCACAAGAACCCTTGCAGCAGCAGGTCGAGAGATTGTGAAAGTTGGAGAGCCCATTTTGAGAAGTCTCCCAAAAATGGCAGCCACAGAGAACAATATTTCATGATTATAGAGATGTAATTTAAGCCCCGAAAATCTAACCCACACAGTCACAATTGGAGGTTCAATCTGGGGGTCAAAATCAACAAACCACTTTAAGAGTTTCATAACCTTATAATCAATTCGTATAACTTTTCTAGCAAACAATCAAGTGTAATCTTCTTCATTTGCTAATTATATGAGGAGGGATAATCATCTAACAGACCAATTTTCAAACTCCCCTCAAGCTTAAGGTTTTCGAAATCCCTCCTGATTAGCTCCAACTTAGGATGCCCATGCAAAATTTTACCCACTAAAGCTAAGCAACAAGAAGCCGCCAGAGAAGAGCATTCGGTATCCGAAATAAACATAGCGGGTTTGCCATTCATCTTACTGGCCATTTTTGCCAAGGAGTAACCACTGGAGCGTTTGAGAGAGTTGTGAAAAGATTGCGAAAAAACCGTGGTTTTGAGCGAAGAAACTTCATTGTCACCCCAGTGAGGGCGTCAACGAAAGATCAAAATGTCATTAAGCCACTGAAAGCAAAAATGCCGCCAAATCGTCAGGGGAACCAAACCCTAGCAGAGCTCACTCGTCTACATTGTGTGTGTATATATATATATTCCAAGGAGTACTCACTGGAGCGTTTGAGAGACTTGTGAAAAGATTGCGAGAAAACCGTAGTTTTGAGCGAAGAAACTTCATTGCCACCCCAGTGAAGGCGTCAACAAAAGATCAAAATGTCATTAAGCCACTGAAAGCAAAAATGCCGCCAAATCATCAGGGGAACCAAACCCTGGCAGAGCTCACTCGTCTACATTGTATATATATATATATATATATATAACTAGCTATGTTACACTTCAATTCTATAACTTTAATTAATATTTTAAAACAATTTGGAAGAGAGAACCTTGAATTTATGTTGTCAATTATTTAGTATTAATTTATTTTCAAGTTTCATTAATAAATTTATGTTATACTTTATGTGTGTGTGTGTAT